GAGCGCCTTCTTATAACGAGCGCCGGCCGTGGCGCGCACGCATCCCGCGCGCTGGAGCGCCAAAACGAGCACGCGCTAGGCCGCTTTCCCCGCGCGAGCGAACCTTTCTCGCGCGTTGGAGCGCCAAAATCAGGGTGACGACATGGACGCTCGCATGATCTAAAACGCGCGTGGTCATGAAATGGGTCAGCCCGTTGGACGCACTGCCGACCCAAAGCTAAAAGAGGGCGGACGGCGGGCGGGCGACCGATTTAAATGGACAAAAAGCGGACAAAAACACCATCCGTTTGGGTCGGCCCGTTGGAGTTGCTCTAGGAGATTTTTCGGTTATTAAGACAAGATAATTTGGCATCCCATTGCATGGTTTTGTTAACTCTCCTGTCAAGCACACCAACCATTGGTCGTTTGTAAACTATAAGTGTAAATGTATACATTGATTTATTTTTTCCACTGAGTGCACAAATTGCTGGGAAAAAATGTCACTTTTGCAGCGATACAACCGTGGTAATGTTCCATTTCCAAATTAAGCCAAAAAGCATCAATTGTATAGCTAGAAATATGGTGAGCAAGTAAAAGCTTAAATATCCACAAGCTCAATTGATACAGAGGTTCCTCCACTGCCAGTCTCCAAATTCCAAGCAGAAAGGATCTTCCTCTTTATCTTGCAAAATTCTTTTTACAGATTTTTGGAAGCTGCTACTTTTAAGAAAGGTGAGTTGTGATGACAAGTTGGTTTGACAACTAATAAACCTGAATGATGCAGCCTGGAGAAACTACTACTTTGTCCAAAAAAGCTTGTCTTATATTTGTCTAGTTGTCTATGTATCTAGACACGTTTTAATGTTACATGTATCTGTATCTAGACAAATTTAAATTAAACTTTTTGGTACGGAGGTAATATAAAATTATCATGGTCATCTTTACATGCAATTGCAACCAGATTCTATATGTGCAATATCTTTTTTTCAACACTAGTAAGCATGCGCGATGCAACGCGCGACATCACAATATAAAAAAAAATTATTTTTCATCTAGTTAGACTTATAAAAATATATTCTCTACTACCCCCTCTGTCCCAAAATAAGTGTCTCAAGTACTTATAAAAGAGCGAACATGATTTGCTCTAAGCACACCCCATAAAATGCACACGGACCTATAACCACTACGTGATTAGGCTAACTAACCTATAACCACTGCATGATTAGGCTAACAAAGAGCATCTCCAACAGCCGCATAAAAATTTTGCGCCCAATAAAAATTATAACGCGCCACTGTAGCACTTTTAATCCATCGGGACCAACATTAATTTGGAGCTGTTCGGTGAAAAAAAAAATTCAGCACACGGTGCTCTTCTTGGCGCATGTTCGAGATGCTCTAAACTTAGGTAATTTATAAGTTATAAGTTGATGAGTTGACTGACCGTGCTCCACCGGGACAAGACTTGTCATTCTTCCCATGCTCCCATCCGTGTTTCTGCATACGTGGCTTGATTTGATTGGAAGAAAATAAGATCCGATTAGAAAAGAAAAAGGGAAAACGACAGCCGTAGGATGAAGTGGAAGCATGGATGAGAGCATGGAAATGGAGCAGGCAAGCCGGATCCCAGAGGAATTGGCCCTATGCCTCCCGACGTGCCCCTCTCCATGGGAGTAGAGGGCGTCGTTGCGTGATTGTAGGGGATGCGAACGCAGAGTGCGGAGTTTTGTATTTTCGTCTACGGTGGAGCGGATCCGGCTTGCCTGCTCCATTTTCATGCTCCCATCCGTGCTTTTACTCTATTCTACGGCTGTCTTTTCCTTTTTTTTTCTAATCGGGTTTTATTTTCTTCCAATCAAATCAAGTCATGAGCGTGGGAAGAAGGGAGCACGCAAGTCTTGTCCATTCCTCCGTCGTCGAGGCCACCGTTTCCTTCTTTTCTTTCCTGTGGCATCGGCCCCAATCTCATCCCGCCTCCAACTCCTCCGCCTCACAGGCCACGTGCTCAGCACAGGCCGTCGTCCTCGGCGCAAAAGGGGCGCAGTTTGGAGAGACCTAATCCACAACGCCATTGACGCTGTCCTCTCCTCGCATGGCCTACCAAGGTCCGTCTCCTCCAATTCCTTCATCTGGATTCCATCTCGGATTTGTCGAATCCTATCATCCCGGATTCCATCTCAACCCCTCCCCTCCTCTCGAAGACGGCCATGGCCGTGCTACGTCTTCCCCACCTTCCTACGTCTTCCGGATCAGCCTTCGATCCCTCGATTTCGTGTGTACTGTGAGCCGCCGCCGATGTTTAGAACGCAAATTGAGGGCGAGCTGGGAGGTGACGGAGGTGCGTTGCCGCCGGCTACATCTTGGCGTCGTCCCTGGTTAGTTCACCTCCGATGGATCATGGGACATACTTCTATCTGGCCCTGGCTCTCCCTTCAAGCATATCCGTGCGAAGCCGCCGCTTTCAAGTTGCCTGATGGACGGCATGGGGGCGTATGGCGGCTGCAGACGTCGATCCTCCCTCATCTTCCCGGATTCGCCGAATGTACGAGGGCCGATACAACCACCCCTAGCCTTGCTTCCACAGGACCGGCCCCTAACAAGCAGCATATATCTTCTCCATGATTACTATTTCCCTTTTTCTTTTTTTCTTTTCAGTGAGAACG